CAAAGGAATCAAGTTTGTGATGGCTCATGAAAAGATGAATGAGACAATGGGTCAATTATTCAAATTTAGATCGAAGACTGATTTTTGAATTTCCCTTGAAGTTGGAGTGGATTGACTGTCTGTAGCACCTCCAAATGAACACCATGAAAACATAGAACTATCTGTTCAACCTTGATTCTAACAAAGCCATAGCTTGGATTCCTATATAAGAACGAGAAAAGAAAAGAAGTTCTTTTGACTTATGGAATCTTTCAAGTATTTGACTGATACTTTGAATTGGCTTAAGAAGGAGGTTGCTAAGAGATTGGGAAGGAAAAATGTTCCTACAGAAGCTAGGAATAAGTTCATCAGGATTGTATCTTTTGTTGTGACCTACAAAGAACTAATCATGCGTTTTTGGAGGATCTACAATGATGATCCAAATGAGTCATACAAAATTCATTTTTCTATCTTTTTCTTCTTATTCAGCGGCAACGACTTTAGTCTACCACCAAAGTCTACCCAAGCTGCTCCCTCCTCATCCTCTATAAAGAGGACACACTCAGCAACCCCTCTTAGTCTCTCAAAGAAGGCTCGAAAAACCAAACAAGGGAAGACCTCTCAACTAGGTGAGTCCTCTCAACATGTCTCAGCTACTGAAATTCGCCCCTTCCCTGAGGCATCTGAACTAACACCATCTTTTTCTTTAATAGGTTCTTCATTTGCTGGCATATCGATTGTATTTTCCCAAACCACCTTAGTGACTCAACTCACTGAGTGTGTGACTTTCAGCACCACCATTTTTGTTCTGACTTATAGCATCATAACCGACTTCTCAACACATGTTGTCTCTTTTCCATGTTTATTGGTCTTGACAACAAGTGTTGATGATCTAATAGTAGTTGTCACCACTATTGGATAAGCCACCACTAGCACAGGACTTGAGGGAAATTCTTTCGAGATCCCTGAGCAACATGTGGCTGATCTTCTCGATAGCGCATTAGAGACGCTAGGCCTTAGTGGTAATCATTCGGATACTGCTGAGGAACCCTCATATATAGTACATATTCCTCCCCTTTTATTTGGTTACTAAACTTGAGCTTTCTTATGCTCAACTTTACTCTCCTAACTTTGGTTTTTCAAGTCTTAAGAAGAGTGAACCCCCAGTCATTGAGGCTATAGAACATGACATGGCTGGGGATGTCAAGCTACTCCAACCTGCTGTAGGTATCATCCTTGATGAAATGGACAAATTCAAGCATTCAATGCCCCTGAAGGAAGATATGGATCAATGCCTCTTTATTGTCAAAGTTGAGGTCCTTGAAGCTAAGTGCGAGCTGACGAACGTGAAGCTAGAAGTCCAACAAAAAGCCAAGGCCATCGTTGAACTTTCCAAGCATGCTGAGGAGGTTCAAGCTCAGCTCACCAAGCATGGCAAGCTACTAGAAAAAATCTTCGCATTTTTTCAGTGACCTGAACCTATCCCTGAACCTTCATTCAACAAGCATGGCCGTCAACAGTTGGACATGGTGGTTGAGCTCAACTTCCAGCAAGGAGAGGCTCTCCTCTCCATCGAGAAAAAGCTGGATGATTTGTATGCTAAGGTACCTTCCTCTCTTGATGATGATAAAGAGATAAAGAAGGCTAAAGTTGTTGCTGAAGCTTCAGTCACTATAGAGGTCTCCTTAATACTAGAAGAACGATTGTTGTCTTAAGAAAACGACCTTATCCAGAGATCGAGCATCAAAGTTGCTGATTTTGAAGACCCTCGGCCTTCCACATCTGCACTGATTTTAGATATCACTATTGGTAATGAAGAGGATGAAGATGAGTAAGATCCCAAGATGCCTGACACTAGAGCCTATCTTGGAGATAATGATGATGATGATGATGATTTTTGTACCCAACCCATCTGTAGACATCCAATCAAGGGAATTTCAATCCGGGAGCTTACCGCCCAGGGGGAAAGATCTCAAAACTAACACTTTATATTTAGGTAAAAGAAAAATGAGTTGCTGAAGAAAATCTAGCCATCTTTAAGGGAGTGTTTAGTATACCAGATGTAACAAATGTGTTAACACTCTTTGTTCCCTCTTTCTCAGAAATTGAACCCCTCGACCATTTACCTCTATATCTCTTTCTCCTACCTCTTTATCTTCTATCTTACCTCCAACCAAATCTCTCACCTCATACTCTCCCCAACTTGAAATCCTTTTCTCTTCTTAGATCTCTCTAAACCCGACAACTCAACCTTCAACAGCTGAAGACATGTCGATCTTTTGTTTGATTCAGACGCTGAAGAAGATGAAGCCTCTGACCTCATCACTAGGGAGTCCTCTCGACTTCCTCTGTGCTCTATAGTTGATGAACCAAAGAGGATGAGTCAGCTAATAAGTCAACTTAACCAATCCAGAGTATAAATTGCTCTACTTCTTGATGTGGTGAGTTTCACTTTCTCACTGACACTGAGAAAGAAGAAGCCCTGAAGGTTGAGCTAGAACTAGAACGTCATCAACGAAAGTGAAAAGACAGTCTAGAGTTGGCCAAAACTCTAGCTGACGAAGCCCATGCTAAAGGAAGGTTCAAGAAGAATGACTCAATAGGTGCTCAGGCTCTACTCTTAAGAGAAACTGAAAAGAAAAACAAAAAAAGCTGACACTGAGAGATCATGAGCTAAATTGGTGCAAGGAAAGAATCGAGATAAGGATAAACCCACACATAATTACAAACATTACCATTAGCGGATAGATGAAGGATGGTGGTATCCTTATCTCCTTGTAATCTTCTGAGAGAATGCCATAACGGAGTATCCCTTCTTCTTGAGCAGATACAACTTCTATGAGTGTTTAGAAATTTGACATGCGATTCAAATGTCAAAATCAAAGCACAAGGCTTACATCGAGTAAGTACTGACTGATTTATTCAATAAAGGTTCGAAGATCATCGAGGTTCCTCTTCTACCACTGAAGTTCTCTCAAAGAAGAAAGACCATATCTGATGCTGAAGACGGACCATCCCACAAGAACAAGCACAAGACAAAATTATCAGTGGATGAACCCTTCAAGAACATTGAAGAAGCTAGACATTTCAATGTTGAACCTATCACTGCCTAAAAATGGACCCTACACTCCAAACACAGTGCATGTGAAATTGAGTATGGATTTATGTTCATTGACTATAACGATCAATATATGTTTCAGAGATTCTTTGAACTCCATCTCTGCCCAATGGAACATCTGGAATATCTTTGGACCTAGTTGAATGAAGATCTTTTTGGTGAGATGATGGACCTCAAGATTCAAAAGGAAATCCTAAAGAGGAAGAACCAAGGAGAAGATGTCTTTGACTACATCTCTCTCAAAGATGTTGACTGAAGCTTTCAATCTTGTAACTTCTTCTACTTTTCCACTTTTCTTAGTGTATAGAGTTCTTATCTTGTTCTTGGATCAATTGTAATGCCACTTGCAATGTTTCATTCTCACTTAATGAAATTTCAAGATTTATCCTTTGGTTTACTAAAAAATATTCCTGAAAATATTAACTAGGACAAGTACTTATGAGTCCTATCTTTTCTTTTTCGTTCACTAATATATCTCTTAATTATTTATCAGCTAAGATGCTTTCAGTGTTACTTTACTTAGTTATGTAATTTCATTTCCTCACTTGTAATCTTTTACAAATAAATGAATTTCAACATAATACTCCCTGACACAGAAAAAGATCCCACGAAATAGTAAATGGGACATGTATCTTACAAGTTCCATTCCTTCACTACAATAGATAACAATTTTCTTTTTGTTGTTTTGTCATCATCAAATAGAGGGAGATTGTTGAACTAAACTCTCTCAGTGATTTGATGACGACTTTACATACTTAGTGAAAAAAAAATACTTGTAAATTTTGTTTAGTTTCAGCAATCATCTATGAGTATTCTCCAAAGACAAAACTCCAAAGACAAGTATTCTCCAAAGACAAAACTCACACCAAAAGAACCTTCACTAATGTCAAAGAAGTAGCTGAAGAAAGAGATATATCAGTTCGTGATCTGAAGTGGATTCGGTGATAACAGAATGTCTAAATCAAAGTGTGAAATATGACAAAGACTCAACGAACAAAAATTTGTGTCAATGATCAAATGAATCTTATTCTACAAGATTAGTTTTTGTCTTATCTCTTATGCACAAAAGGACAACCCCATACCTCTCATAGAAAGTTACATGTATGGAGTTACTTTATGGTCTCAAAATGTGCTTACCATCTTTGTAAAAGTCAATTGTTCATACAAGGACATGCTCTCCACTAGAAGTTTTCCATGTGGCTTGTACCCTCTGACTTGCATTTAATGCAATGGGTATAAATAGCTAAGAAGACTCCTTTTCTCAACCACCCCTTCTTCTTCCTACTATCTTCTTTCTTATTCTTAATCTTCTCTGTGCTTAACTGTGTATTTCTTAGACTTATTAGATTAGGTATTTACCTTATCTGTTTCTGCAACAATCTGTAAATTTTGTATTGATCTTCTTTTATCAGTAAATAAATTTAAAAAGTAAAAATTTGTGTGTTAGTATTCAACCCCCCTTCTACAAACTGTTACCTTCAAAATTCTTGTAGATTCATTTGGGACCAACAACAGCTCTAATATGTAGTCCCTCAACACGTTGTAATGCTCTACGTAGTCTCCCATAAGCTTCTTGAGTGCCAATTATTTTCCCCTAAAAGACTTCATCTTCGAAACTTTAATTGCATAACTTTGTTCCAAGTTGACTTACAAAGTCTTCGCAGGAATATCTTGGTTTGCAATTAGTGACTTTGAAATCTGTTGGGATAAAAAAATGTTGTGTATGCTGCAACTTCTCTTGATTGAAGACATTTGTGGGTTTGTACATATGTTTTACCATCCACGTATCATCATGCTTACCTAAGGATATGTGCAAAACCCATGGGCAACTTGGCCCACTTGCCTTGACCTCTTTACCCTTACTTGACCCACCCACTTCTTCTTTTAATTTTGGAATGCTACCTCAACATACAGCTCTCATCCTATGAAGATTGTTCTTCACCACCACAATTTCCCTCCTAGTCTCAATCGCATGTTGGTCAACCATCTTTTTTATTCCTTCTTTACTACCAATTACTTGGCTAGGATAAAAGTTGACACTCTTATCAAATCCTATGTTAGACCCCTTTTTCTTGTTTAGCTTCTTCAAATAAGTAAACCTTTTCACCTCCAAATTAGATTGATTAGTGTTACTTTCAAAATCTTCCAACTCCAACTCATGATCAACATTTACCTCATTGTTAATTACACCATCATCCAATACATTTCGGTCATCATGTACAAACCCATCACTATCACTCTCTTCATTTACCTCATTGTTTTGATATTCCATTGTTTCATCAAATGGATTGAAGTCATCAAATAGATCAAAACAATCAACCTCTTGATTTTTATCAACCCATTCAAGGAGTACCCTCTGATTTAACTCCGGACTCAATTCAATGGGTAATTCTTTAATCACTTCAGTGTAAACCTCTATTATTTTGCACTGGGGAGCATATTTTAAAAGATTCAATACATCAAGATTATTGCCTAAAGCTTCTAAGACAAAATTTAAGTCTTTTCTTGGAATTTTGAAATGATAAACGGTAGATGCATCATTTCTAATACCTATTTCTTTCATCAAAACTCTGAACTTCTGTATCAAATACTCCTCACTGTCAACTAAATCAACAAAGTGATATTTACCATTTATGTACTCCCTACTAGGACAAATTATGAAAACACCTCCATGATAAATCTTCAATGTACTGAACGTCGAATAATCATCTACAACAAAAGCCAATGCAAAACCTGTTAATAAAATTAGTGACCAAACCAAATGAAAGAACATGTTGATATGTCAAGTGAAACATGTCATTCAAACAAAACAATGAACACAACCAAATGCAAGTTTTTTTAAGTGAAAACCTAACATTCAAATAAAACCAATGAGAAAAATCATGAGTTTTAGCTGTTTAAAATCGTGTGTTTAGATGAACATACCATAAATTTCAAATATATGTTGCTCCATTAAGTTGCTTCAAGAAGTCATGATGTGTGCACCATTTTCTTAGGGTTTAGATGAACACTTGCATTGAAGGATTGATTACGAAGATTGTTGTAGGATAAGATAAGTTTTCATGTCTAGTTGAAACATGAAGGGTATATCAAGAATTTGATTCAAAATTATTTGAAAAAAGATTTTTTAAAATGACATAAAAGCCTTTCATATAGGGCACCTGGGGGATTTATCGATACTTATTTAAATGGAGTAAGGTGGAGGGACTCAATCTGAAACAAAAGTGAAACCATGATAATCATGACTGTAATTAATTCAATTGGAGGACCCAATCCAAAGTTGTCATATAACCACAGGGACCAAATATGTAATTTACACTATTATCACTTGATTTAAAAATTCTATCCATTTGATATTATTCATTAGGATGGGCCGTCATTTGGACTTGCTGGGTATGCTACTTGATTATTTGGGTCGTATACATCATTCACAATTTCAAGTTTCCAACAATGCATAGAATTTAGATCTGTAACTGGTTGTTGGAATTGTCAAATGATCGATTATAGAAAATCATTATAAAACAATCAAATCCAACTGATTATGAAAATATTTTGGTCTATCAATCATTCTCTTGAGACAAAATGAAGACTGGTGCTAGTAGTGCATCGAGACTTAGTAGACTAGTTACGAGAACCAGCTAACGAACTAATTAGAGGGACCGATACAACTACTTTTTGAAATTTAGAAAATTATGATTTTTTTTATAATCAAAAAAATAAAATATTATTTTAATATTAATGTTATAAAGTAATAAAATTAATAGTTAAAAAGTTAAAGTTAATAACTCAATATAATACACAAAGATAGTTACTATTTAGAAGAAAAAAGTTGATTAATAAATAATAATAGTGATAGAAAGTAGTTAATATCTAGTAAAAAAAAAAGAAATCAATATCAATCAATATATATAGGGAGGATCATGATATATATATATATATACACGTTGACGAAAGATCGTGTGAGAAGTGAAGTTATAGTGAGAAGCGTAATAAGATATTTGAACCTTTGATCACTTTTAATCTTATACACACTCATGAATTGCACATTTAAAAGGGAATTGATCTGGTGTAACTCGGTGCACCTTATTAGTGTTGACATTCAATTATGATTGATCCAAGGGTAGAGATCTCTTCCTACGCTCATCATAAGTTCCCTTCTCACCGGAACCTAACCCTGCATATATATTAAAGGAACAACTAAAGGTTAATAAGATGGCTTAATGAGATTTGAGTAATGTGGTGTGTTTTTCTTATCCCACATTGTGGAGAAGATGATGGAATAAAAGAATGTTGTGAATATTTATTAAGAGGAGTAAAAAGCTTTATTAAAACTTAAGAGGTTAGCTTATTTTGACCCACCCTCTATGTGGTTGATTAATTTTGGCCAACTATCTAGACTTATGAGTTTTTTTAGTTTTCACCGTTCATCTTATTGTAAAAGTCTGAATATGTAGTACAACCAAATATAATGACATGACATTATGAGATTTGATTATTCATCAAATATTGAAATTAAGTTAAGTTTTCTTATCCCATATTAGTGAGAAGAAGGAAGTGTGTATATGAAAGGAGGAGGTTTTTCTTTTATAGTAAGTTGAGATATGAATATTTCTTAAATCTTAAAATGCGGTATCATGTTAATGAAAAAAAATAGAAGAAAGTGTAAATATGAAAGGATAAGTTATACTTTTGTATTAAGTCATATTGTTAGCTCAAATTAATTAACTTTTTTTGGTGCAAAAGTCTTAAAAAAATACCTTTGCGGTGACCAAATCTATTTATATAAAATTGATTAGGTGGTTATTATTAGATGTCGACCACAACTAATGATGTGATGTATTGAATCAATATATGATTACTAAAATTTAAATTGTGATTGTGTTTTAGTTATCGCACTTCAAGATCAAAAAGAGAGAATGTATAAAATTCATTCAAATTAAGAAATTATAAAGTTGAAATAAAGTCTTCTAAAATACTATTACGAACAATCTATTTATAACAGTAAGAACCAAGACAAATGACTGTTGAGTTGTGAAGTTTGATAAATTTGGCAGTTGTTCTAAATATTAGATAAGAAAATGTTCCAGAATTTTGGTCCAACCCACATAAAAGTTTAACCTAATTTCACTCTATTAATAGATCCCTTTGCAACCTTCATACAGTAAGCAAGAAACAGAAAGCATGTGTAACGGCAGTAAGCATAATAAGAATCTCTCTATTTCACCGTGGACTAGCACGATTTGTGTTCTTGTTTTCTTAACCCAACAACTGGTATCAAAACAAAGGAGAAAAGAAAAGATAATTTGGCAACACGTTCGGGAAACACGCAACCGCATTGTTTTGCCTATTCCTAGAGATAGAACAGTCGGATCGTCTTGATGTTTGGACAGTTGGTCCATAACATTTGGATATAAGTTTTCACTGGTTGGATCATCGTTTATAGGTCCGGAATTAGTACAGTCTTTGTCGAACAAAAGGAATTCGACAGCACATTTAGGCAATGCGCAACCACATTGTTTTGCATATTCCCATTGATTGAATGGTTATATCATATTGTTTTTTGGATAGTAGATCCACAACATTTGTACCTTCATTTTTACCTTGTCTATTAGAGTTCTAGAGGTTGTACGGTCTTCGTCAAAAGAAGGAAAAAAAAATTTAAGCCTTGGCCGAAGATGGGAAGGTTAAGATCGAGAAGTTTGAAGGTCACGATCTTGGCTTTTGGAAGATGCAGATCTAAGATTATCTCTATTAAAAGAAATTACATGAACACTTGTCTGACAAGAAACCTGAAGCGATGAATTAGAAGGGTTGGAACTTTTTGGATCAAGAAGCTCTTGGTGTGGTCAGGTTACCATTGGTGCAGAATGTTGGGTATAACATTGTCAATGAGAAAACAACGTTTGTACTGATCAAGGCGTTATCCAACATGTAGGAGAAACCCTCAACAATGATTAAGGTGTTCTTCATCAGACAGTTGATGAATACAAAGATGAATGAAGGAACGTTAGTGACAGATCACGTAAACGAGTTCAATTCTATACTATCCATGTTAGCATCTGTTGATGTTACATTTGATAATGAAGTGCAGGCATTATTACTATTATCTTCATTACCCGATAGTTGGTCTGGAATGGTTACAACAGTTAACAGTTCATCAAGAACTACTAAGCTAACCATTGAAGGCATTTGCGATTTGATCGTAGGTGAGGACATCTGTAGCAAGAATGTTGGAGATTATTCTAGAAGTATGTTGAGTATAGAGGACAAAGTTAGAAAATCCAATATAGGGGATAACGGTAGAGGAAAGTTGAAATCAAGGAAAATATCTCAATCCAAGAACATGAAAGACATTACCTGTTGGAATTGCAAAGAGATGGACACTTCAAAAATCAATGCCCAAAAACCTTCAATAGATAAAGGCAAGAATGGGATGAATGTGCAATAGATTTTGATGATGCACTGATTTGTTGTGTAGAATGTAACACCCCAAACTTCCACATTTGCATATAACATGTACTTTATATAAGAGAAACACAATTTACACCGCAAAGGTCCCACTAGTACAAGAAACTTATATACATAATTAACAACCCAAAAATTCCAAAAGAATATTCTTGTACAATCACATGTATAACAACATGTATCTTCAAAATACATCAATCAACAGGTTGATCTTCAAAACAACAAATAAGCATATTAGGAAAAAAATTACATTTTCCCCTTCCCCTTATTGTCCATTGACCCCGTTGAACCTACAATGCATATTTTAAAACACAAAACGAGGATTAGACTAGGAGGTCTAATGAGATCACCAAAACCTGTTTAAAATTCACATTTGAATATTCAACCACTTTAAAACAATTATAACTTCAGTATAATAAAATTGCAAGTTATAAATGTTGATCCCCTCTCTTAGTGATTTGATGATAATCTCTTTTACCTTATACAAAGTATTGTTGTTTTTGTTTTTCAGTTCCTGCGATCTTCACTGAGTTTGTTCAGTGATTGCTGAGAACATGTAATGTAAATCCATCAGCGATAGCGATACTTCAAGAAAACAAAACTCACACCAAATAACCTTCAGTGAAAGTCGAAGATTGAAACTGAAGATTAGAGACTGGCGAGTTCGTGATCTGAAGAGGCATTCAGTGATTACAACTTGGTCTACATATGTATGAAGACTGCCCAAGCCTCAGCGAATGCTGAAGAGATTTTCAGGGTTATTCCAGCATTCAGCGATCAAAAGAAACTTGATGAGCAAGATTGCTTTTGCCTTGTCCTTCCACACACAAAGGAAAAACCCATACCCTTTATAGAGTATAGTATCGTACAGAGCCGATTAGTTGACTCTACTACCCACCAACTCCATGAAGGGATGCCTGCTCATGAATAGGCTTTTGTACTATTCACTGTAGCAAAGAACAAGTCTTTCTCTAAAGTCTTGATGCGTGTTCAAACTCTACTGCATTGCATTAAATGTGCAGTTAATGCAATGGGTATAAATAGATGTGTTCTGTCCCCATCCAGAGATACTCTTGAACCTTAATCCTTATGTGCATACGTAAATGAACACACACATCTAAGAACACAATACGCTTATCTTCAAAAGAAAGTTAGAATTCCTTTTCTACTATTCTAAATAGTTCTTACCCCAGAAAGAACTCACTTTCTTCTTAGTCTTAAACATCAAATCTTTTCTCTTTGCTAAGAACATTTGTGTGTAACTAAGATTGTTTAGATAGGTTATCTACCTTATCTTTTCTGCATACAATCTTGTAAAATCTGTATTGATCCTTCTTCATCAATATATATTTTAAATTTGAAAAGTTTATTGTGTTTGTATTCATCTCCCCCCTTCTATAAACTGTATCTATATATCTTGTAGACCCTTACGGGACCAACAAGTGGTATTAGAGCAGTTTTTTCTTTTCTTATTGTTTAGTTGTTTTTCTGCATTATATTATCTCCTTCTCTAGATAATTTTACTGCTTTCAAATGGCTTTACAAAACATAAACACACACTTTCATGATAATGGCTCTCTTGCCAAACCTCCCCGGTTTATCCGAGACAGCTTTAGTCTTTGGAAGAATCAGAT